TTATATTTAAAAATAAGTGTTAACAAAAAGAAAATTTCTAAATAATATTAATAGATCTATAGTTAAATAAAGTTAATATTACTAGAAAAATTGAATTGCAATTAATGCTGTTTTCTTATTAGTTTATTTTTGATATATAGATTTATTACTAATACTTCTATTAGTATATATATTCCACAAGATTTCTATTTTCTATTGTACTAATTCTTGAAAATAGTACAAGAAATTTTTATATTTAATAATAAATTATTACAAAAAAAAAATTTCTAAATAGTATCAATAATCAATAGTCTTATTGTTAAATAAAGTTACTAGAAAAAATTAAATCTTATTTCTTATTGTTTATTTTGATAGTCAAATTATCAATATTTTTATTCTAATATATAAGTTGAATTATCAATACTTTTATTTTAGTATATATATTTCTCGAGATTTTTATTTTTTATTATATCAATATTTTGAAAGATAGTGCATAAAATTTTTTATATTTAAGAATGAGTTGTTATTAAAAAGAAAATTTTAGAGTATGGTAACTTAGTAAAGTAGATAGGTTGTTATATCTCCAAGTGGTAGGTTGTGAGTTCAAAACCCACCAACAGCAAAATTTGAATAATCACTTATGTAATATATAGATAGTATTATAGCGATGACATTCTGTTGATCAGTTAGAATAGGATACTTGTAACTATAGTTGCACTAGCATGACTGGCAGGTCTGAGGCATCTGTATAACCTGTTATACAAAGAAATGCAAACTAGTACCAGGCAGCAGTGTTGTCATGTCTACTATGTCCAAGATTTTTTTTGACCATATCTAATATCCAAATGTCCAAACGTTCAAGAATGTCCACAGCATATACAAGCTTTAAAAATTAATATATTAATTTAAAAAATATATGATTATATATTTTTTATAGTGCTGAATATTTTTATTTAGAAAGTTAAAATAGGTTAACTTAATAAAATTTTGAGCAAATTTAATTTATTTATTTGACCAAAAATGTTCAAAAGTGTTTAAACTCATGTCCACAACTGTCCTGTAACAATACTGCCAGGCAGTGCAAACCTAAAATATGTTCTTAGGCATATAAATTTGTAAAACTAAGAAGCTGAAGCCTACTTGAAAATTCTGAGCAAAGAGGTAACATAGATCTTTGATGGTACTACTGTAAAGACTAAACCTAGAAAATAGATACTAATATAAAGGATTTGAGTAGGCAAGAACCTCGAATAAAAGATACTACCAACCAGACTGCTGGATTTTAGACCAGAGAAAAAGGATATTGGGCCAGCCTCAATATACCAAGAACAGGTTATAGTCCTTCTGAGCTATCTGGATTGGAAGTCTGAGTTCAAAGCAAAGGTATACTAAAAGTACTAGAGATATACTATAAAGTTAGTATTGAGATCTGAGTGAACTCTGTAAGGATAGCCCATGTTAGTGTTTTAAAAGTAAGTAGATAGTTAACAATGAAGGGCCCTCTGTGCCTTACTGACAGGTAACATACTCTAAAATGTATAATGGTTTAAGAACCAGTACAAAAAAGATAGGTAATTATACTGCTCAGACAGTATACCAGTTAGGTATATATAAAGGGTAAGTTGAGGATTCCAATATGACAGAGTGGATGATTAGAAGGTTTAAATAGATAATCTCCTAGTAGGTTATAGGTATAGCATCTAGTGTAAAACCTTAGAGCAGACTACTTAAATAGCCAACTAAAAGTTACATGCATGACTAGCTGTACTTTCATTTCTGTAAAAATAGTTGTAATAGCTAACCTAATATAAAGTCAATAAAATATTACTACAAGTATGGTCTTTAACAAAAAAAAAAAAATAAATTTTAATTGCAGATCTGTATATAATAGATAGATTTACTATAGCACAAATTTTTTAATAAAAAAAATACAAGTGTAGATATTTATAACAAAAAATAACTATTGGTTATAATTAATTACACAAGTTATATTTACTATACATAGCTTGAATCTCTACAATACTGCCTGTATTTATAAATTCATTATTGTTTCACAATTTAAAATATTTTATATGAAGAAAAGAAAGATTTCATAATAGTTATATATCAATTTTATATATAGTTATACTCTAATCACTAACTTTTTGATGCTTATTAGTTTTGTCTCTACTCATATTATATACTAAAGCATAATTGTCATTGCTAGCTTCTGTGAGTACTCATTTTAATGCTTCTTTTTTGAAGCTTGCATTATACCTTTCGATCCATCTTTTAATAGTCTTTGCTATTAGAATTTCCTTAAACAAAAGTTCACTATTTCTTGCCAAATCTTCAAGATCGGCATGCATATCTTTAGAAGAGTAATGATCTGCAGCTTCTAAGTTACCTGCTAAGAAAACACCTTGCAAGTATTGTAATACCTTTTTTATAATATGCTTTCTTGCACCTTTATTGCCAAGTTACATATTTTTTTTTAGGGCCCAACCTACAGTTAAGGAAAAATTCTGATTAACACTATAGAAGTAGAGGTTAGTTTGCAGAAATTACATTTAATAAAAAAATATACATAATTACTTTACATCTTTATAAAATTTTAGAGCATTGTAAATATTCAAGAAACAAAATTATTAAGTGCAATAGAAGATATTTATATGTATAATATATATGTATATTCATATGTCATATATATATAAAGTATATAAATTATTATCTCATATAGACATTTCAGCTAATTCATTATTATTAACTATACAAGGACAAATATGGTTAGTATAACATAAACTACAATAATATATTTAGTTATTGGTATAGTATCTGATAATAATTCTTTGTTCATCAGTAATTCTGAAGTTGGCATTGTCCATGCAGACTTTGGTATAGACAATGTGGAAAATGTTGGAGATGATTTTTTACAAAATAGTGAAATCTGTATAGATTGAAAGTTTTTCCACACACCTATATGAGGAAAAGAATGAGCACGAATATATCCTGCAAATTTATCTGTTATAGACCAGGACTACTCAAACCATTTGGAAATACCAGGTATAGTTTTAGGTTTTTTGCTAGTTTCTGGTTCCTGGCTAATTATCAAGAATAAAAATTAAATTATAGGTTTATTAAGAATGTTAATAAAGAATTTTGGTTAAATAAAGTATATTTTTTAATAATTGATCATTACAATTTTTATTATTAACAAGAGCTATAGTTTTGTGCTTGTAATATATTATAATTTTGAAGTAGTAAGAACTTGTATAATTATCATATACAGGTTTTTACAATCATCTATTATGTTATTATTAATTGTGAAAATTTGTTATTTTATTTTTAATAAGGAAATTACTTTGATGATTCTGAATTTGGTTCTATATTGTTTTGATTATGATTTGGCACTATGCATGCTACAGATGTTCTACTCAAATTTTGAAGTGCTTTTTTAATATTTGTCATTTCAGTAAGATCACAACCAATTTTAATGTATCTTTTAATTATATATGTGATCTAAAATTGATATTGTTATTAGTAGAATGCAAAAAAAGAAAGATATTTCATTAGCAAAATTAAAATCATTATAATTTGAGTTTTATATAATATGAATGCATCAATAAAAACCTAAATTTTGGCTTTCAATTATGTTTTGTGCCTAAAACTTTGATCAAATAACCTTAATCAAAGTTTTAGATACAAAATATAATTGAAAGCAGAATTTGGAGCTTTTTTTGATGATACTCATATATTGAGTACTAATTTGAACTGTATTCAGAATGTGCCTTTTTTTTAAAAAAAAATTGTCTAATGTATATTAAATCTACTTGCAGTTGCATAGTGAGAATCAACAGTAGTTTTGGCTTTTTTAGACTCAAGAAAAATCCATCCACGTACTTCTATATTGTACCAGCTATGCCAGTAACTAATAATTGACATTAATTCTGAGTTATGATAGTGCTTTCCATTATCTGAAATAATTTTAATCCAATGTGGCTTAGAATTCATTGTTATGAATACTGCTTCAAAGCATGATACAGTAAATTATGCATCCTGTTTAGTATTAGTACTCCAATAATCATATGTATGAATATTCAAATTATTGCTATTGTTTTTGTTTTTTTGAAATACCAAGGTTGTATGAAATGTCCACACTCTTTTTTCGAAGAACTGGCTTTTTGTTTCTTTAGCTGTTGCAGGTAAAATTCGCATCTTATAATCAACTACAATAACTGCTCCATTGTTATTAAGCTCATATAATGTAGAATTAAATTGTGCACTTAGATATGTTTTACAGGTTTGATGGGCCAAATAGCATATTAATTGTTCCTGACATTCTTTAAGCTTCGTGTAATATGAGATATTCGGCTTATATATTAGTTTTTCAAATATGCTAAAAAATTTGTCATATTCTAAACATCATGAAAAATGCTAAAATTTACATTCACCAAAAGCAAACAACAAACAATGATTAATACAATCTACATGGTCAATTGAACTATTTTTATTTATAATTAATTCTTTTTTATAATTTCTTTTTAGATGATAGCACAATAATTCTATTTTATTAATAAAATCATTTTACAAAATCAGATAGGTTTATTAATTATAAGACATTGGACATACAATGAAAAATAATAGTGAATTTTTTTTATCAGTATTAATGTTACTCCTAAATGCTACATAGCAGCATATGAGTGGTATTAATACTGATAAAAAAATTTCCTGTTATTTCCATGTATTTAATATAAATAAGTTAGTCATAGCCAAAAAATATTGATCAAACGATTGCTTCTGACATACTCAGAATATGCATATAACTTACAAATAGTGTATTTTAATAGTCTAATAATTTATTTTATATTATATGATAATATAGATTTTTTTTTTTCGACTTCAAGACACACTCTCTCCAATGATCACTTGGACACAAAACCGGTGAAAAAAGAAATCAACTTTCTGCACTAACAGCAATAGATAACACTCTTGACT